AGTCACGTGGGTAGAAAACATAATCAATAAAATCACGACGTTTCGATTGCAACACAAGCAATCATCATCAGGTGTGAAAACTACAGCAATAATGTTTTAGCTAAAGTGTGAACACACCTGATAATGATTGCTTGTGTTGCAAGCGAAACGTCGTGTGTATTTATACCTACGTGACTTTACCGAAAGAACCAAAGAGTATGTTTCAAAAAATATTAATTTTAACATTCCATTGTTGGATTTGAACCCGCGATTGCAACGTAGCCGGTTCCCAGCACGGCACCGTGACCCCCTCGCCCACACGCAACGGCAGCCGTCAACGTCCTTGACACAAAGAATGTCAACGTAGAAACAAACCAAAGTGGGGGGGCCCCCCGTGACATCCAAACAATTGGGGGGGGGGGTTAAAAAGCGTCGTGCGCTAGCGGCGTGAAGGACGGGGTGTCCTTTTGTGATGCGTCCGGCGTGTTCGGTGTGTCTGTCGATGATGGCGGCGGAATTGACAGGACACCCGTATTCGATTAAGCGAGTAGAAAACATGTATCTACAAACATTAGCGTGGTGAATAGGAGGAGAGAACAAAAAATAAGAGGGGATGGTGCGCTTTGTTAAGGGATGGGGCGATGGGGAGAGGAGAGGGTGGGTGAGAGGGTGGGTGTGTGGGTGGGTGGGTGTGTGGATGTGTGGTTGAGTGGGTTTGCGGGTGGGTGGGTGAGTGAGTGGGTGGATGTCTGAGGGTGTGTGTGTGAGTGGGTGGGTGGTGTGGATGTGTGAGTGGGTGGGTGTGTGGGTTTGTGGGTGGGTGGGTGTGTGAGTGGGTGAGTGGATGTGTGGATGTGTGAGTGGGTGGGTGTGGGTTTGTGGGTGGTTGGGTGTGTGAGTGGGTGGGTGAGTGGGTTTGTGGGTGGGTGTGTGTGGTGGGTGGATGTGTAGATGTGTGAGTGGGTGGGTGGGTGTTTGGGTTTGTGGGTGGGTGGGTGTGTGAGTGGGTGGGTGAGTGGGTTTGTGGTGGGTGGGGGTGGTGAGTGGGTGGATGTGTGGGTGGGTGTGTGAATGTGTGAGTGGGTGGGTTGTGGGTTTGTGGGTGGGTGGGTGTGTGGTTGTGTGAGTGGGTGGGTGTGTGGTTTGTGGGTGGGGGGTGTGTGACTGGGTGGATGTGTGGGGTGGGTGTGTGAGTGGGTGGTGAGTGAGTATGTGGGTGGGGGTGGGCGGGTAAGTGGGTGTGTGAGTGGGAGTGTGAGTGGGTGGATGAGTGTGTGTGTGGGGTGTGTGAGTGGATGTGTGAGTGGGTGTGTGTGGGTGGGTGAGTAGGGGTGTCTGAGTGGGTGGATGTGTGAGTGGTGGTATGTGTGTGAGTGGGTGTGTGTGAGTAGGTGTGTGTGAGTTAGTGTGTGTGTGTGTGAGTAGGGGTGTGTGTGTGAGTAGGTGTGTGTGTGTGAGTAGGTGTGTGTGAGTTAGTGGGGTGTGTGTGTATGTGAGTAGGTGTGTGTGTGAGTAGGTGTGTGTGAGTTAGTGTGTGTGTGTGTGTGTGAGTAGGTGTGTGTGAGTTAGTGGGTGTGTGAGCGGTAGCTGCTCTACAAACCCGGCAACCCGAGTTCGATTCCCGCTCACACGGCCAACCCCAGTGACGATTATCTGAACTGATCCTCAGCCTCCCCTAGGTCGACTCAGCCTCAAATAAGTTATTGGTGCGAGTTGTAAACATCGCCACTGGGGAGACAAAGGCGACCGGGCGTGGTGCTGGCCACACCACCCCCTCGTGTGC